CCAATTAAGGCCAACAACATTTTAGAAAGTATTTCTAACTCATCAATATTTTGAGAATTATTCATTTAATTAGCATTAATTCGGGAAAAGATCGTAGATGAAAAGGGAGGAAATGGGACAAAGAGAGAAGAGCGAAAGTAAAGGAAAGCAAGAAGGATAAAAAAGTAAAAGTTGAAGAAGGTAGAGAGCGTGGGAGGAGGGCAAACAAACTAGTAATATTAAGGATAATAAAGAAAAAGAAATAAGACAAATATTAAAAATGAGCTATTAACCGGTTAAAGATTATTCGTGCGAAAGATTTTGACAATGTTTATAAACTGTATAACTTTATGACAGTATCTAAGGTTAAACCTTAGGCGCATTCGAAGTTACAAAAAAAAATAACACGTAGTTCAATTTAACGAAAGGAACACATAACTAATAGTCGTACAACATGGATGACATTTATAACATTGAATACACAAGGATTACATTTCAATGTGAGCAATAACTAAAGGGTTAAAAGCGTGATTTCCCCTTTATTAAATTAAACTTTGATGTATAAAAATAAAACAAATTGTGTATCATTTGGGTATATATCACACTAAAAATTGTAACCTCCGGATTAGAAATTTCAATATTCAATCAAATTTATTTGTGTGATAAACTATTTGGAAAACTAGCTTAATCTAAAGGAAAAGGTTCGAAAAATATAGACCTCACCCCATGGTCATCTCCATGTTGATATATGTACTGAGCCACTTTAGCAACATTTGTTGAGAGTTCAATGAATATTTTGGAGAAGACCGGGTTATCTTCAAATCTAATCTTATTCATCTTCTTCCATGCCTCATTTATTTGAGAATTGATGTTATCTTGAGCGTCATGGATAGAGACTTTAGCACTATTCATGTAACATTCCACAGCTTTTGGTGTATCCCCTCTTTTCATTTCATCCTGAAATTATAGAAGAAACAAGAGCTTGTAATAAAAACATAACCATGTAAAACCCAACAAGATCTATTCAAGAATTTAGATATGCACGTACATGAGAGGTTGCTTTGTCATTTGATAACCGGAGAATCAAGGATGTTAAACGAACAATGTCATGATAAAACTCTGAGAGGCAGTGTAAGGCTTGTTCATCCAAAGGGTTGTTGACCCAAATGAAAACATGAACTATTACCAGAGGAACTGCCGTTGAAATGCATGCATTTTTTATGTATTCTTCGTATGATGGCGTGTACCCAGTGTGGAACCATTGTGCCTCTTGTAAGTGTGATTTGCAAAGATCCAACCACTGAATACATTGAATGTTTAAATTGTAGTAGTGTCATTATAATAGTTATTTGAGGGGGAAATCCTTGAAAAAAAGTAAAAACGTTTTCAAAATCTAAAATAGGGTTGTCATATTTTTATTCTACAAATAGAAGTAATTATTGTCAAAATTGAAAAATATTGTCAAGCGAAAAAGTCCGATAATGCTAAAATATGACAATAATTACTCACATTTAGAGAATTAAAATATGACAGTCCTGTTTTAATATGAAAATCACAAACATTTTTACTCTTATTTAGGGCAATTTATTTTAATAGAACAAATTAACGTATGATGCAATGAGTAGTTACTAGTTATTGACTTGCCGCTTTTCTTATATAACGGGAGACAAGAATGCCTTGTTTTTCGCAGGCATCATTTGCCACTTCATTTACAAGGTTGTAGAGTGCATAATAAAATGGCTTCATATACTCGAGAAGATGTCCAATTTCTGTTATGTCGCTCCATCTGAATTGTTTGAAAGAAGTAGAGTGATTAAAGAGTATATCAGTATACACACTAAGTCACTAATCAGATAAATTATAGAAGTACGTGAATATAATGCTACATATTGCTAGTCAATGATCTATTTAACAAATAATGGAGTATGGCGGCACCATCTTTACCATTCAATTTATAAAGAGAAAAGGGTAAAATGAGATCTTCTACTATTATGAAAGTGTCATATAAGGTCATGTACTCAATAAAGTGTCATATAAATACGTCTACTTATAAAAAGCAATCAGATCAGTCCTATTGACATGTTAACAACCTCGTAATCCCGGTTTTAACGTAGAGATGGGTGTCACAATACCCCATATGACTCCATAGGAGAGACATAGGGCTCCATAAATTTCCTTATCTATTTAAAACTGCTTTTGATCCCTGAACCTACTCCTTCAGGGAGCAGAAAAAGATATTGGAGTGTTTGGATGAAAGTGCATATATACTTCTGGGTGCTCCGAATTGCTCCTAGAAGCGGGTTTTTGAAGATTGTGGAGACCAACTTTTGAAAAAAAGATTCTGATTCTCCAAACACCCTCATATAGTTGTCTATGGTTTTATGTTTGCTTTGCTTTATTTTTGGGGCTTTGCTTCATTTTTGCCAACATAGCATATATATAGTCTGTTTGGTGTCAATTTTTTCACCAAATACGTAAATTTTGATTTTACGCGCTCAGTTGTATTATAATCAAAATAAATAAGGTCGAACATACTTTTCTGGCTGAATTGGTTGAAGTTACTGTAATAGATAATTTTCACTATTTTTCATAGAATTTTTTCTTTATTTTTTTAATAAAATATATTTTAAACATATTTTTTTCACAAATCAACAAAATCTGTGAATCCAGCCAATTTAACAAGAATTTTATTAATTTCAACAGAATAAATATATTCAGCCAATTTGGATATTACTAACCAGGCTCATTAACTCACAAGGTGACACTATACGGTAACTAGTATGCGTTTTCGTCACACAACCTTATATATGGAGAAGCTTAAATACTTCGTACTCCCTCGGTCCCATTTAAAGGTTCTCGTCTACTATTCTTCGGTCCACGTGCATTGTTCTTAATCTTTTACTTTATATATCCAACTTTTATCAAATTTAAATTTTCTTGATTAGGCTTTGTAGCGGTTTTAATGTAGTTTCTGAATATGTAAATTTTATTTACTAAAAATAATTCTACAAATGACAGGGATCAGTTAACTTTATGGTCAGTCAAACGTCGTAAATCGTGTGAGAATGTTTAAATAAGACGGAGGGAGTACAAGCATATTTTATTAAAGATCAGATTAAACTTGTATGAGGAGAAATTTTAGATCCTTACATTATATTGATTGGTAGGAATATGTTCATATCTTTTAGCTTTGATATGGATTGCACATAAAAGATCAGATTAAACATATTTGAGGAGAAAGTTTAGATGCTTACATTATATTGTTTGGTAGGAATATGTTCATATCATTTAGCTATTTAAAAAATTTAAAAAATCACTAAAATTCTATTTGTATGTTTGGTGGGACAAGTTTTGAGAGCTTTTATCAAAATAAAAAGGGTTACTTACCCAAATAGGAGTAAATGGTAATCCACAATCACAAATAAGACTAAATTGTTTGTTATTCATTAATAGGACTAATTATGTGCGTTTGGTAAAATATCCTTTGTAGCTTTTGAAATGTATTAATTCATATTAAAATCATAAAAACAAATCCTAAAAAAATAATAAAAAAATTAAAAAATATTTTTTAAATAATTTTTTTTAAAAAAAATAAATATAACAAAAAAAGTCATCACTGCCTCTGCCACCCACCCCAGCACCACCACCTCATGTCACCGGAAAATAAAATGACAGATGCATTAGTAATGCCATATTAATGAAAGTTTCAATGAAAGTTTTGACATTATAAAAGAGTAAGATGCCATTTTTTGGCATTTTCACAAAAAATGGCATTTTGTTACAAAACATGTAATTGTTTTACACCAGTGGAAGGTGGTGGTGTGGGGAGGCAATAGAGGCGGTGGGAAAGACATCCATATTTTTTAAATTGTTTTATGTTTTTTACTACTTTTTATTAGTTTTTGATTTTTTATCTGAATTTTTTTAACATTTTTATTTTATAAGTATTGTATTAATTTTTTATTATTTTCTATGATTTCATTATGAATTAAAACATTTCTTTACGAATTAAAACACTTGACAAAATTAGTTTTTGATTATTTATGGTACAAAATTAATGTTTGGTCCTATATGTGAATGATTTAAGGGTGTAGTCTTATTTTCATTTTTAGCCTGGTTTTAATCCTGTTTAGGAAAATAACTAAAAAAATGAGAAACTACAGTGAGTAGCACTTGACAAAAGTTTGTAGTTTTTTAGTACTACATATTAATTAGGCAAAAGAGCTTGTGTACCCAAGTTGAACCACCAAACAGAACTAAATAAAATAGTCAACTTTTAATCAAATACGGAGTAGCTAACTAGCTACTAGCTTATTCTTTTAAGATCTTTTCAGTCGCTCAAAGTTAATAATTACTAAAAAGCTCATGAAGTATATTTCTAGCTAGTTGTGCCTAACATACCCTTGTGTATTTACTTATATCTATATTTGACTCAGAGTGAAACAATGATTTCAATATGACAATGCATTTTCATTTAAGATGTTTTTAATTGAACTAGTTAAGTATTAGTCCAAATCAATCCAGATTAGACCAAACTTAAAAAGAGAAAAACAAACTAGAACAGATCAAACCATATTGGATCATAATAAACCTCGACAATTATAAAATACACATATAACAGACATCTATGACACCAGTCCAAATAATTAAAACACATGTATGCCTGTAGTCGTGTAGATTGACCTAATCATCATATGGCCTGGGTTGACTAAATCACATCTAAAGTGTACTACATCCTTCTCACTAATATTGAGACACGAGGAGATGGTGTGGTTATTAAGTAAAGTAGGTTTATGTGATTGATACTAAATTGATGAAGTGAAGATAGAGTACGAATGATTTAGAATCATACAACTTTACCAAATTTGAAATGAAACAGTTTTAGTGAGATGAATTGGAAAATAATGAAGTCACAATCTTAATGGGTCAAAACGAGTATATACGAATAATATAATTCCTTTTTTTATGTTATATCAGAAAGTCATAAATGTATTAAGAAATTAAGATATAATAGATGATTAGACGGTACAAAGAATTAAAGAATACGAGCAGAAATATTTAGCGGACGGGCCTAGGGTTAGGCCATTACTTTTGAACAGTTTTACGCAGATCTGGAGAAGTGAGGTGCGGCTCGATCGGTGACTGTAGAAGCTTCGCCGAGTTTGGGCAGTGCTTTGACGGGAGAAGCAATTGACGCAAAGGCAGAAGCAATCAACGAAGAGGCAGCGCAGTACCACGTGGAGGCTTAGAGAGGCATCAACTAACAGCTGAAGGGGCTCGTCGAAGACTGGCTTGCTCGATCGATTAGGAAAGGCCAATTCGGGGCGATTGGGCTGCAAACGGTATAGGAATAGGCAGACATTTGAGGTTCTTCGTCTCTACTTGGTGAAGGTCTGCGTGGGTTCATCGGAGGAAGTCGTCGTAGATACTTGGGCGAGGATCTTGTGCGATGGGAGCGATCAGTGGTTACAATGGTGGCCGTGGACGTGTGGCGGCTAGGGTAGTGAGGCCTAATAGTCTGATGCTTAGTTTGGCTATTTTGCTTTGTTGGTGTTTATGATGAATGTTACCCCAGCTGTGTTTGACCTGGGCGAAACACTGACGGTTTGGCGTCTGGTGGAAGGGGTGAATTTGAACTCAAATTGGGTGGTTGAGGGATTGGCACGGGTGATTTGGTCGTCTGAGGTGGTGAAGGATGTAGACGGTAGGTGCGTGTTTTGTCCCCCTCCTGAACCTCCACCACAGAGGAACTACATGACTAGGGTCTGGAAGACGTCACCTGAAGTACGGATTTCGCTATTTTACCAGCTGAAATTTAGTTTGCATTTTTCTATGGTTGTTGGGTGTGCTATGCTTTTGAGGTAGGTAGGCATTGTGTGTGAAGAAGTAAGATGGCTTCGGAAGTCGATATAATCTTCAAATATCTCAGATGGTTAGCGATTCGATCGCTCTCATTAAGGTGGTTGTTTCTATGTCTAATCAGAGGACGAGCTGGGGGACTTTCGGGTTATTGTGAGTGTGGTAGTCTGGGGTTGATTCGTATTGATATGTTTGTAATGTCATTGGTGGTTGGTTTATAATATAATCAGGTAGTTTCCTTTAAAAAAACAATCAGAAAGTCGTCAATAAAAGCCTCCCTCCGGTCTTATTAAATGTTGAAATTCAATAATAACAAAGAAATAAATTGAGAAAATATTACTTAATGTGCATGATTTCATAATAATAAAACTACATAAAAGTGAACCAAAGGGATCATCCATTCTAAGATTAGAAGCCAATTTGGTAACATTAAAATTGTCTGAATTGGGTGATTGTAATGAAATTTATGAAGTTCTGGATGAAGTGGTTGTATTGGTTGATTCTGCTGATTTATGAAAAAAAAATTAAAATAGTTGTTATTGATAAATAAAATAAAAAAGGATCAGCCTCACGTATTTATTATTTTTAATGGAAATAGTAAAGTTTTTTTTGGACGACCAAAAAAGGAAAATTGGTCAAGTTTTATCCGACGAAGTTTGTATGCATTTCACATAGAAATATCCTTGTGTCCTTGTACACTATGCTATTATAATGTTTTTACATGTATTGGTTTCAATCCCAATTACACTATGCTATTTAAAAAGATCAGACTATATCAGATTTTAAATGTTGTAAAATGTAACACCGTCCTCAAGCATACTAACTTCTATGTAAATGTTGTATTGTACCTTGAGAAATGGTTAATGAATTTACGAGGTTATAAATATTTGTTGTTACTTTTGTGTGAATTATAAACTGCACGTGGGTTCCCACCGGGAACGGGGACCACCCGATATTTTCGGGACAACATATTATATATTTACATTCATCTTGGTCTAGATAATATGTATATGGTGGTGGATATTCTAGTTGGGCCATAGAAAAGGCGTAGAGTTGACGAGTAGGTCAAACAGAGCCCAAATATTAGCATCAGTATTTCGACAGATAATAGCCCGTAATAAATTACAGGGGCTTCTAAATTTAAGTTGGGGGATGTGTATTCATTCTAAAGGCTCATAGTGATTTGGGATGTGTGACATATTTTATTTGACCTGATAAAAATAAATGTAATTGAAACAGTTCGAGAAATACAACTTTCGGGGCCGGATGTACACTTCATGACACATTGGGATGACTTCCCACATGAGCGGGGTCCATCCCACGTTTTTCTGTGCTCAATTGACACAATGAGAGGGCTGGTGTGATAGGAAGACAAGGGGAGATGTGTGAGAGTGATGGGTTGGGTGAGAGCTGACCTAAGGTGGACCCTCTCCTCTCACTCATTGCTATTGAGACAAAAGAGGTCTCTATCATCCCTCCCCCCTATCACCACTTAAGACCAAGCACATCCACGAGAGAGAGGCCTGCAAAACACCGTTCGTCCGTAGTCAAGTGAGCTCAAGCAAGCAAGGAGCTCAAGGAAGAAGAAAAAGTTGCAAAAGTAGAGAAAAACCTTGAGAATAAAGGTGAGAAGTTCTTTAGTAATATTTCTTCCATCATTTGATTATCATATGACATATATATCAAATAAAGGACCCCTAGGACTGTTCTACATGTTTATAAGTGTAGAATTAGGGGTTAGAAGGCAGTTCTTAGTCCAAGAACGGACTTAGCAGTCAAAATGACCGGTTCGTCGGAAAATAACCTTTTAGAGGTTTTCTACGTCGTTGAGCAGTTTGAGCTTGCCTCTTTTTGCATCATGCGCCCCATTGGTACTAAGGATGGCAAAGCGGGCGGGGGACCCGTGGGGAACGGATGGGGCGGGCATGGGGTGAAGCGGAGGCGTGGATGGGTGAGATATTTTTACCCCGCTAAAATATGGGGCGGGGGACAGGGATTGCTACACGGCTACACCCACCTCGTTCCTGACCTGTCCCCGTTATAAATATATACTCAAATATATATACACACATATGTATCTTAACCTATCTTATAAAGGATGGTTTTTCATATTAAATGCTCTTTCATCCTTTATCATATTATGCACTCTGTCATTTGGCTTGTACTGCTACTATCCAGTTGAGTTATATCACTTACGGTGTTATATTGTTTGTATAACGGTGTTCTACCCAGAGTAAGATACACCTTGAGCAAATTAATACACAATAGCACACCTCCGAACTTTGGCTTCTACGCTAAACCGTTGCTAAGCTAATAAGTCTGCATTTCATGAGTGTGGACTATCTTCCAAAGTCCTTAATTAATATGGCGACTTCTTGATTTCTCTTTATTTGATTTACATACATTTCACATGTTAAAATCCTTCTTATATGACCTTAGAAGACAAGATGATGAGGTTTCCGCCATTTAATATTCATCTTTCCTACACGTTTGGTTTTCGAGGTAATTTTAACATGTCTTTCAAGTTGTTAATGATTAAATGCCATATTCATTCAACTTCATGTAAATGTTTGTTGGCGGATGGATTGAACACATCTCATCAATTTTGTACAAATTGCTCACCTGAAAGTAATTTGTTTTCTTCGATTTGAAGACAAAATCAAAAACATTAGAGGTTTTTTAAATAAAAATCAAACCCATTACATGTTTGTCTATATGCCCTAATAGAATTGTTCTACGTGTGAGATCGCAGATCAAATAATTTAAATTGACTAATTTTGTCATGAACTAGGACTTTGGGAGCGTATATGTCTTATTTAAGTATTTAATCATGTTAGGTGTTTGTTACTCTAATGTGTAGAGACAAAACTTCCAAGACTTTTTACGTATTTGCTGGTCTATTGTGTATGAATTGTACTATGCTCATTTAACTACAAAGACTAAAAATCAACGTGAATCTCCAAAACAAATCATACAGATTCTGCAGTTTTAAGCAAAGAATTAAACATGAGCTACAAATAATACCTTCAGTAGTTACTTATATTCATGATACTCCCTTCTTATTCATAAATAAAATGCTACATAATAAATTTCTCAAAATAACTGTATATTTAAAAATCCGATAAAATAAAAATTATGTAGAATTTGTGCTCTAGACATGCAAGCTTGGGCTAGTGTTTTTATTAATTCTAAAAGCAACGCGCAACGCACGATCAATTTGTTCTTAAAATACTTATGCTGAAAACATTTTACAAAATTCATAAAAAATGTGTTGGACATATAACATTCGCGCAACACGCGATCAATTTCCTAGTACATACATAAATAAGGTATAAGCATATTTAATTAAATTATATGTTGTATATAAAAAAGACATACATGTACATATACATATACCATATTATATGAATTAAAAGTGAGAAAGTGAGTAAATAGAACACACACATGTATAATATATATAATTAATTGTATTATAATTGATTTGAAAATTGGAAGAATATGTTTACTTATATTTTTACTTTTATTGTCCTCACATAACTTATTCAAATCGAAGAATTATTAAAAATTGACGGTAATAACTTTTATCAAACACAATTAACTTTTTGGGTCAAATTTTATAAACTTTGATCACTAACTATTTATAATTTACATAACTTTATCATACAAAATTAGATTTATATACTTCATTCGAATGTATATTATTCAAATATTAATTTATATTAGATTTTATAAATATTCCTAAAATATTAGATTTTATAAGTATAGATTTTTAGATATTTAGGGTCAACCGTCCACCTTGAAAACCGTAAAAGTCAACCTAGGCACTTAATTGAGGGACAGAGAGAGTATAATGGTTTAAAAATATGTAAATAAGATAAATAAAATCTATATGGGGGCACCCATGGGCACCCGTGGCGGATAACAGGATGGGATGGGGATGGGGCGGGTCTGGGAGTAATGGGGAACGAGGCAGGGATGGGGAGAACTTTTTAGACATGAGGCAGGGGATGATGGAGTGAACCCCGCCTCAAACCCGCCCCATTGTTATCCCTAATTGGTACTCTCCTCCAAACTTTGTTTGGAAAAAGTGATGTGAACCCTTGGTCTAGTTTTCATGCAACCGTATATACCGCAATTAACGATTTGCCTCGCACCATCGAAGATATTCTAAAATTCAAACTTGCACAAAATTATTTGAATATCAAAGTTAAGAGCTCGTTTGATGATCGTTTTTTTCGGTTTATCAGGTTTATTAAGCAACTTTTTTGATTGTATTGGCTGAAATTACTACCTATTTTTCATGAAATAATTGCACAAATATTATTCCCCAACTTTCATTGTACAAAAATATGACTAAATTTTTTTTATCCAAAAAAGTGATCAAGTCTGCGCAGCATCTGTACGTCATCGCGCATCTCTGCGAAATATCAACCCTGAGAGCTTAGCCATCGATCAGGAAGCAGGCGGCTTTACATCCGAAGAGCAGACGACTCTAGATCTGGAGTGCAGGCGGCCGTCGATCTCCCTTCTTTGATTGAAATAGATCTTAGTCCAACAATGGATCTGAGTTATCTTCTTCGTTGAGATAGACGGCCAAAAGCGAGCGAAAACCTCCGGCGCCGGCGGGGAGAGGCCTTCTTTTCTGATGGCAGTGGCATCACACGATGGCTCTCCGGGCGAGCGACAGCGTCAGCAAAGTTTCCCTTCTCCCTCGGCGATTCTGCTTTGGTGCTTGGTGATAACTCCGACCAACTTCTACGATCGTCCAAAATTCCCACGATAGGGAGCAAGGGAGTGTGCTGGGGGTGCAGGGAAATGGGCTATGAAAGCCGGGGAGGGGGCTGGGAGAGGTGGCAAGGTGTCATTTCAAAAATGACATAAAACACATAGTGACATAATCACTAAAAATCACGATTTCCAAACGACTTTACGATAAAGCTTGACTTTATCAGGCCCAGATCAAGGCCTGACGACATAGCATAGGCTTGGAGCCTTAGTCGCTGCTACGTCCAGTGAAGGAGAAACATAATTTATAAGACCAACTCCAACAAGCACCATTTATCACACCAAAATGGTGTATTTCCCAAAAAATTGCTCCAACAGCCACTCCATTTTCAACACCATTACACCAAAATGGGGGAGAGGGGGAGAGTTCACACCAAATATGGCGCACACCAAATGTTCCACCATTTTTTGTTTTAATTTTTTTTTATTTCAAAAGTGACCCAAAGTTTTGATTGTTATAGTTTTGACCCATTTTTAAAACAACAAATTAGGATGTTTT